ATATATAGTGACATATTACAGCGCATTTTGTACGCGCATATGTATAGTGCGGAGCACCATATCGTGCGCCGTGAGGAGAAATAGTTCTCCTTCGGCCACCTCCTACTACCACGCGCCAGCGGCCCGAGATTTAATCCATATATCGACACGGTTACCGATGATATATACCGACGCGGTTACCAATAACACCGACAGGCATATGTTATCATAAAACTATCGTGAACATTGAAAAGAGTAACTCTGCATTGAAAGTGACTTCAATAATTTATATCAAATATTTATTTATTTAATTATTACGTGATATAATTTTACTTGATATAAGAAACTTCCTTACGGTAAGTGCAAGAAAGTAAAAAATATTTAAGTAAGAGAGTAAAAAACCATGACAATAGATAAATGTCATAGTGATTATTAAAATATTTTTAAACATTATTTAAATATTAAGAATAAAANATAAAACACTATACTAGATTTGTATTAATTAGCGTTAAATTTTCTTTAAAACATCAAAAATAAAAACTAGTAAAGCAATATTATAATAGTTATGTTTATATATAAATATATACATATATAGTTGTATATGTACTTAAAAATTTAACAAAATAATGATACTAACAAATAATGTGTGTGTGTGTGCATGAAAAGATAAGAAGAATGACACAAACAATTATTTTATATAATTTTGAAGCAGTTACGCTAGATTTTATTTTATAGGGTTGCGCTTAAAAATGTTCTTCTGTCAAAGATATATTTATGGTTCTGACAAGAAGTGTTTAATGGTAATACTGGACTAATACGTAACAGCCAGCTTATTCACTTATCACTTTTCGATTTTTTGAGTATAACGTGTTTTAAAGTATACAATTCGTTATCAAATTATAATATGTTAGGTGATATATACAACTTACTAAACAAATAACTTTTTACCAAATAATGAAAACAACAACTTGTGAAATATTAATTATATTTGAAATTTCCAAAATGTGTTAATTTTAATATGAAACTTTGTCTCACCATAAGAAGCATAAATATCTTTGAAATGAACAATGAATTTATAATTTAGTTTATACAACTCTAGTATTTTGTAGCAAAACCTTTGGCATCAATTACAGCTTAGCAGCGTCTTGGCACGAAGTCGATTGTCATCTAAGGAATTCTTTTATTCTTTTTTGAGTTGAGCAAATTTTTTGGCCATATTTGTAGCTCGTTTGCTGGCCAAACGCTTCTGTAGCTTTTCCCACATTAGTTCGATAATATCGAGATCGGGTGATTGACTTGGTCACTCCATGAGAGTTATGGGCTCGATGGCGTCGGAACTATTTCTGTACTTCACCTACGAAATGCTTCGGATTATTATCTTGCTGGTAGAGATAAAGTCAGAATCAAGAAAAAGTTTTGCATATAGAAGCATCATATTCTCAAGGATGTCTATATACGTTTTCCGATTCATAATGCCATTACTTCTATAAAGGGTCTATTTTTTTGCACAAAAGATATCCCACACCATAATTGAACCGCCTCTGTGCTTCATTGTGGGAAGTTGATATTTAGGTTCAAAGCGCTTACCTTTAGGACGATGAATTCATGTTATACCGTCACTATCAAATAACATAAACTTACTTTCGTTGCTCCAGACAGCGTTAGACCATTGCTGAGATGTCCAGTTAAGGTGTGCTTTGGCCCATTCTATTCGCGCCTTCCGATTCTTTACAGAAACAAACACGACTTTTTCATAGGTCGCAGTCCTGCAGGCGGCGATGTATGGTCCGTACGGATAGATTAGACTCTTCAAAATTCAATATTTCTTTGGCAATGTTCGAAGCCGTAAGATGTGGGTTGCTGCTGGATTTGCAAAAGATGTGAGCGACGACAGAAGTAGTGCCCATAGAACACAGTTGCCTGATTTTCTTCTTCTTAACATAACCTTCCTGGATTGTCCAACGCTTCAAAAGTTTGGTCACTGCTGATTTGAAAATGTCAAACTGCTGAGCGAGCTCCATATACGTTTGTTCTTGTTTTGCGGCTTTCTATGGCTTTTTGCTGTCGTTCATTGATATTTCTAGCACCACAGGTCTTTACCATAATGTGAAACACTAAATTTAACTGTTAAACCTAAGTTATGACCACGAAGTAAAAATAAGGAGATCTAACTGCGTAAATTAAAAGTGGCTATGAAAAATGTTCCCTGTAAAGCCAAGTTTGCTAAAAAATAACTTGCGACATTTCATTGCCATCTTAAAATTGTAACTAACAGATGGTGGAACAAGATTGTAAAGGGTTAGAAAAGCATGGAACGTACAAAATTGAAGTAAACAAATAAATAAAAATGTTATAAATTTAAAAAAATAAGTTTTTAAAATCTATCAAAAAATTAAAACTTACAACTTTATGATGTATTTTGTCAAATCTCATTACATTTCATGTACAAGATGCACCTGCCAGTAGGTGTCCACTATAAAATTTTGAGTGCATTTGATGTACAAAAGTTATGCTTACAATACCAAAAGGTGATATAATTATAGCCGGTACATAGATAAAAGTAGTAGGGAAAGCTCTCTCTTCACACAAAAAACGAATAGAGGGGTTTTATAACTTTTTCCGGAAGAAGTAAGTATTCTTGCTATTTTTTATTCATCCATTTTAATGATGTATAACGCATAAATTTATCAATTGATGGTTTTTTTTGTAATTTCTACTAGATAAGAGTTTGGTATTTATGATCCAAATGTCAATAGTTAGTAAAAGATGATATATTTCTTATTATAAACAAAAATTAATGAAAAACAACGCTATTTTAGCAAAAAAACTTCATTTGTAAGAAATAATTTTCTATAAACATGTATAGATTGAATTCTGTTTTTTAGATTGCTGAATACAAATCTGGAGTAAAATTCCAAACTGCAAGATGGCGAATACAATATGGCAGACAAAAAAGTGAAAAATTTTTCTAATTCTGACATAAAATGGTTTCAACGTTTTTTCTTAGTCACTGATTACGAATCCGGAGTTCAAACTTCAAAACATTCAAAACATCTAGTGTACATTTTGCGGGGGAATTGGAGATATTTTTCAAAATTATATCCGCCATATTGGAAATAAAATTATATCCGTCATTTTGAAGTTTGAAAATCTGATTTCAAATTTGCATTCAGCGATCTAAAAAAAAATACAAATGTTACGGAGATTTGAGATTTTTCAAAAATTTTTTGTTTGCCATATTAGATCCGCCATTTAAAATTTTAACAATTTGACTTTAAATTTGTGTTCAGCGACCCAAAAACCTCTAGGTACAAATATTTAGAGAAATGTTAGATAGAAAAATGTGTGCCGGAAAGAGATAAAGGAAAATAGGAAAACAGAGTCAATTTTTGCTTCTCGTGTGAGTAATACAATTCATATTACTGTTAGAGTCCTACAGAATGAGTAAAACCTATTTTTTAATCTGGGAACTAATGGGAATTTTGCAATAAAAATGAAATATTAAGATATCGATTATTCGAAAATATCATTGAAGTATCACAATATCTGGAATAATTTTTGAATATGGTTGATAGAATTTTACTTTTATCTGACCCTTGCTTCCAACAGAATAATTTTAAATTTATGATTGAGGTGCTCCTTATGAATAATTATCCTCTACAATTTATATTTAGAATAATCAGGAATAGAATTAAATTTTTAATTCATAACAGATTAAATTTAAACATTGACAATAAATTTGTCTGTCATTCTGATCTTGAAACTGTTAAAAAATATTTTGTTGTTCCTTATCTTCCTGATTTGTCTGACTCTTTTTCAAGATTTTTTAAAAAAACTAAGGAGATTTCTTTGGCATTTCGAAGTTTGAATAAATTGAGTAAATTCATAAAAGTTGGAAAGGATAGGTTAACTCATGATCAAAATAAAGATGTGGTGTATCAAATTAATTGTAATAATTGTAATATATCTTATGTTGGACAAACGAAGCGTAAGTTAAAAACAAGAATTAGCGAACATAGAAATCAGATTAATAGAAATTCTGATTTTGTTTCTGTGGTTACGGAGCATCGTTTGGAGACTGGTCATGACTTCATTTGGAATGACGTTAAAATCTTAGATATGGAAAAATTTTTTTATAAGAGATCAGTTTCAGAAATGCTCCACATCAAGTTACAAGACAATCCGATAAATGTAATGTCGGACACTGACAAGCTAAAACCTTACTTTCTCTTTTTAGAATTGTATAGATCAAAAGTTTAGACCGTTACTTTTGTACTTAATTTGTAAACATGTTTTTCGACTTATTGGGAACCTTTTGATCTTCTGATCTGATAGTGGGGATATCTATATATATTTGGCTGTTTTATGTTTTCTTGCCAGTACACATTATATTATTGTAATTTATTGACATCATTTCATCTATCTGTTAGTGATGTAGTGTACTAAAATGTTTTTTCTTATTTAAGTGAGTTTTATATATTATTTTCAATTTACTATAATGTTTGCTTTGCGCTTATTTTATTTATTGTTATTTCTTTTATTTTTTCTTGTTAGACTTAATTTTTTCATACTGAAGAAGGTCCAAACTTGTGTGACCGAAACGTCTATTTATTGAATACAGACAACTTTTTATACACGACCAACCTGTATTTTACTGCTCGTATCGGCCTTTTGATTTATTTGACTATTTCACGAGCGATTGATTGATTTTTTCTAACGCAATGTCTACCCTCGTTACGTTACGCTTGACAAACGTTTTATTGTAATGATACTAAAGTAGCGTACTAAATTTTGAATCGCGATTTTTCAACAGTTGAGAAATTCATTGTCTTTAACTAGCATTTGTTACTTGTATATCACTTAGATAAAAGTTTGCACATTTGTGCAAAAACTTAGAATAAGAATCGGATTTTGCCGAATCTTATTCTAACATTTTTTGTTATTCTAACAATGTTTAAATATATTTCTGTTGAAGTAATTTGTAATAGAAATTGTCACTATCAATATGATAATTTTTTCAGAGCAATAACAAATCTCATAATACCTGATAGAAGCCTATGCTGGAATGTGCCAGATAATTGGTCGCTGGAAGATGCAGCCACTGTGCCGTGTGCGTACGTCATGTGTTATTACGCATTATACGTAAGCGGAGAAATGAAGAAGGGTGACAAAGTACTTATTCATTCTGGTACTGGCGGTATCGGTCAAGCAGCAATTCATCTTGCTCTTCACAAAGGTTGCGAAGTATTTACTACTGTGGGTACACCTGAGAAACGCAAGTTTATTCGAGAAATGTTTCCATCAATTCCGGATGATCATATTGGCAGTTCGCGCAACACACATTTCGAGCAAATGATACTTCAACTAACAAACGGCAACGGTGTGGATATTGTTCTAAACTCGTTGGCTGAAGATAAACTTCAAGCGTCGGTACGATGTCTGGGATATGGCGGTCGTTTCTTACAGATCGGCAAGTTCGATATAATTGCGGATAATTCCTTGGGTATGATGGTCTTTTTAAAGGAGGTCAGTTTCCATGGAATTATGTTGGATAATCTATTTTCAAATACTGAGAAAGAAAAATTGCGTTTGCGTGACATGGTGAATGAAGGTCTTAAGAATGGTGCTATTAAGCCACTTTTTAGAAAAATATTTGAAAAAGACGATGTGGGAGCTGCCTTCAAATATATGATGGATGGAAAGCACATAGGCAAGGTAAAAAAAGAAAAATTCCTGAAGCTACATACATTCATCTTTACGTAAAAAAAGAAATTTGAAAAATAGCAGTTTTGTATGACTTAAACTTTTTTATACACTCTTCTACTAATTATTTAAAAAATTATCTCTAAATTTTAAAGTTTTATATATTAGAAATAATAAAAGTTAATTTAAAAATGATATCGAGGAGGGACAATACAAAGTAGTATACTGCTTAATCGTGTACATCAACAAAACTTTTATTTTATTATTTACCCAGATAACCAAGACTGAGTGATCATATTTTGCAAAGTCTGCAATAACACATCATGCCAGTACAATATAGCCAGCATTCAAACATAATCTGTTATTTCAACTAGTGTCGACAAAAAAACAGAAAAAAAAAGAATATAA